CCCAACGGCACTAAGTTTATTTAGACTGCAAGAAATCGAGGCAGCTCTCCATACATCTAAAGGCAATGTCCTGGCGCTGATAGAATTTCCAAACCCATCCTTAAGCAGATCCCTCCATGCCTTAAGCAAAAATTACTTAACATATATAACTGCATGTTATCCACTGGCACTTACCACCACACCTGGTGATCTTCTATCGTTATTCACATCCCAAAGCCCAATAAAAAATCTTCAGAAATTAATGGCTATCGCTTAATATCCCTAATACCCTGCCTAAGTAAAATAATTGAAAAAATGATTGCTCTCCGACTCATGTGGTTCATCAACCGCCATAACCTGATCAGCGGCAACCAAGTTGCATTCAAAAGGAACCACAGCACTATGGACGCTCTACTCAAAATCCAACATTTCGTGTCGAATACCATTTCAACTAGAAATCATGTCTCCATCCTGGCGACAGATTTCGGAAAGGCCTCCGATCGCGTGGGGCTACATGCAGTTTTCTCAAGACTTCAGGTATTGGGCATTGGTCCAAGACTTTACAACCTGGTTAAAACCTTTATGACGAAGAAGACCTTTAAAGTTAGAGTCAACGACAAGACCTCAAGGTTCGACAAACCAGCTAAACGGAATCCCACAAGGCTCACTTTTATCGGTAGTTCTTTTCATCATAGCTTTTGATCACATCAATCTCGTAATAGCCAAATACAAGGAAATAAATATATCTTTATACGCAGATGATCGCCAATACGGTGCATTCTGGCCGAAGCAGGACTTCCAAGCACTACCGACAGATTAAACGAAGCCACTATTATTTTAATACCTAGGCTTTTCACAAACCCAAATCATTCATTGGTTAAGAAATTCATAGCTTCCTTCAAAAAAAAAAAACTCCTAGTGTTCAACCCTCCATAGATGCGCAAAGCATGCCGCTTCCATTGGGGCCATCAGTTCCCAAGCAGAAAAAATCGCGACCTCTCTTCCGCCCTGGAAAGACGTATCAGTTAACATCAAAAAGGATCTTAACTTTTTTGCTAAAAACGACACACCCAGATCAGTTTTCCAAGCCCAATTTAGTCTTCTAAGAAGTCAATTGGGCCCAAAGAACTAGGTTTACACGGATGGTTTTAAAACTGAATCTTCATCTACTTTTGCAGTCAAAAAGGATAACGACAACATCGCGGGAGGAACCCTTCCCAACTTCAACTCTATACTTACCATCGATTCTTTCGCAGTCTTTTAGGCCACCAACGTTAAAGGGAAACTCCTCATCTGCAATAAGCAAAATAAAGAACATTTTTGCCCAAAAAAATCAAAAATACCCATTGTTAGGGCCCTCACCCACCAGGGAATTTTTGGGAAAGAACAAACTGTCTCGGCTGCCCGATATATGAGCGTAGCACCAACATTTTAATTCACACCCATCAGTTCCAGAGACATCTCTGGGCTAATTAAAACTACCAACAAACAAAAGCAAATCTCTGATTGGGAAGGTTTCAACCACAGATATAAAACACTAAAACACCAGCCTTCGAAAAAACCATATTTCCCACCGACCTCAATAAAAAATAAAATCGTAGGATTTACACCCTCCTTCGCATTGGACACACATAGGAAACGCACGAACACCTTCTTCAAGGATCTGTTTGCCCTTCTTGCCGTTTTTGCGGCAATAGACCATCTTCTTAACATCTGCTAGGTCTTAAAGCCCACACGCACTTCCATTTTTGGATCCCTCACCCTTACATCTTCCCCACATCCCCCTCCAAATCAAATATAAAAAAATTAATAAATTTGTCAATAAAGGCCATCTCCGAATATAAATCAACTAATTAAACTCCAATAGCCAGGCCGAAGGACTTCAGTTTCCAGTGCCATTTTCTTTTATATTAATTTTAGTATTATATACCAGTTTTAATTTGACAAAATAAAAAAATAAAAATGTTTGTTCTTTTCAATCCAATGTATTTTTTTATCAACTGATTGGATTGTGTTTTCAAAGAAAATAATATTTAAATTATTTTATTTTTATTTATTTTATTTTTTAAAGTGGAATGGAATAATATAACTATTTTTTTTGTGAAACAATCTATTAGCAAAAATTAATTTTTGTTCCTTTCCATTTTATTATTATATCCGATTTTTATACCCTTGCAGAGGGTATTATAAAATTGGTCAAAAGCTTGTAACGCAGTTAAAGATTTCCGATTGTATAAAGTAAATAAATGTTCTTGATCAGCATGCCTGACCGTCGTCAGTCCGTCGTTTCCGTCGTACAAAAACAACGGATTGCTTTGATTAAATCAATCACACTCGTGAGAGCTAGCTTTTTGATTCTAGTAATTATTTTAATTTTAATTATAATAACACTGTTGTTATTATTTGGAAACTGTCGTCTGATGTATATAAGGTTTTTCATGGGTCCTCACCCAACAGATTATTATACCCGTTACTCGTAGAGTAAAAGGGTATATTGTATTCGTGCAAAAGTATGTAACAGCTAGAAGGAAGCGTTTCCGACCCTATAAAGTATATATATTCTTGATCAGGGTCACTAGCCGAGTCGATATAGCCATGTCCGTCTGTCCGTCCGTATGAACGCTGAGATCTCGGAAACTATAAAAGCTAGAAGATTGGCATTTTGCATGTAGATTTTAGGAGTTCCTACTCAGCGCAAGTTTGTTTCAAAATGGTGCCACGCCCCCTCTGACGCCCACAATCGCTTATATACGATTTTAAAAATTTAAATATTTCGGAAAAGTAAAAATGCAGTCTTATTGTGTTTATCAATACCTATCGAAATGTAGAAGAAATTTTTCAAATCGGACCATTCGTTAAAAAGTTATGCATGATCAAAGTTTCTATCTCCACCTCCCTCGCACTCCCTTTACCTGAGTAACGGGTATCTGATAGTCGGGGCACCCGACTATAGCGTTCTCTCTTGTTTTTATTATTATTGTTATTATTTTATTTGAAAGTTCTTTACCAAATAAATACGTGTCATTATTTTGTTCTCTGTGTAAATGTAAAATTACACAGGCCAATAATTTTTATACCCAAAAACTGAACACACTTTTTCTTATACATTTTTTCGCGCTGAATCCGAGTCCGGTGCCAAATGGCTCCACCCACAGTTTTTGAGATATTCTAACCTGAAAGTGTGAAAATGGACGTTTTTAACATATTTCAACAAGCTATATATTCGATAATTAATTTTTTGAACATTAGCACCAATTTACCTCAAAGTGCACATCCTAACCTTTAAAATTCTTTTTTAGTTTTTTAAATACGATTATTCGTTCTTGAAATATGACCATTTAAAGAATGTCACTTTAATATTATTATTACGCCCAAACCAAAATAAGAATAGTTATTTACAGAAACTTTACAGTTCTTAAGAGTTAAGACCTGTAGTGAATACAATACATCAACATCACCAAAATTTCGATCTAGCCATATTCGTCTGTCCGTCCGTTTCTACGCGAACTAATCCCTCAGTTTTAAAGCTATCTTTCCCAAAAGTTGTGTTTCTATTGTAGGTAGTATATAAGTCGGAACGAGTCGGATCGGGCGACTATATCATATAGCTCCCATAGGAACAATCGGAAAAGAAAAATTAAAAAAAGTATAACATTGTTGTTTTTATATTTTTTTGTTCTTTCGGATTTGGTAATATTTAAATACTATGACATTACGGGTTTAATTAAATTAAAATCGGACTTATATATCATATAGCTCCCATAGGATAATCGAAAAATTAAAAAAAAATTTATTTTGCTATTTATATACCCTTGCAGAGGGTATGATAATTTTGGTCAAAAGTGTGCAACGCAGTGAAGAAGACATCTCCGACCGTATAAAGTATATATATTCTGTATCAGGATCGCTCCAGAGTTGATATAAGCATGTCTGTCTGTCCGTCTGTCTGTTTCTACGCAAACTAGTCTCTCAGTTTTAAGGATATCGAATTGAAACTTTGCACACATCCTTCATTCCTTTGCACGCAGTTTATAAGTCGGAACGGCCGGATTCGGCCGACTATATCCTATAGCTGATATACAACTGATTGATCGGAAATGCCATAACTTTGGTGTTTTTAAAGTTAGGAAGTTGGGATTTTTTATGAGTATTAAGAATGCATCATATGAATAGTTTTGGAGAATATAATTTACAGAATATTTTGCAAGGGTATACAACTTCGGTTCCGTCCGAAGTTAGCTTTTCTTTCTTGTTAGGATATTAGAAATGTAGTCGTTTTGTAATAACTGCAAAGGTACATATATTAACATCAACTTGCCGAAGTTTTCAATTTTAATATCGCTTACTACTTTTGATATTGATGTTGAATTGCTTTCTGCCCAAACCATTTCATGACCCCCATAGCTTTTGGGTGTTTGTTTTCAAGCTCCCTATAAGGTCGTCGCCAACCATATTGAACCAAAAAGGTTGAATTTGGACTCGTCTGCAAATAACTCGTTATCCCAAAACAAAATCAAAAGAGCCTAGGAGCTAGAAAACAAACACCTGAAAGCTACGGTCAAGCATAGCAGGGGTCATGTTATGGTTTGAGCCTTTATGGCAGCTTATGGTGGGGCAACCTCGTTTTTATTGACGCAATCATGAATGGCCAAACTGCTGAAAAACTGGGCATACGCGATCGATTTCGGTATTACCAGGATAACGATCCTAAACATTTATCAGCAATTGTGAAGACTTTGCTTGTCTGACAGTGCACAAATTATGCACTTATTCTTTCGTGGCATCACACCGGTATACCTACGCATTTACATATGTATAAATATATTTGGGGAAATGACGTCTATCTCTTTATTGTACTTAATTTCCGCGGCTGTGCGAGGTATTAAGTTTGAGTCGCAATAGCACATCCCCATCAGAACAAGTAACTAAATAATTTGATTCTAGTAAAAAGTCACATTGTTCAAAATAAAAGAACACATTAACATTTTTTTCATTTGGTTGCCTTCACTGAAAAATAATAGACTTATACCGGCTCAATACTTATAGCTCTCAATCCTTATAAAACTATTAATATATACAGTAAGGTAAGCTTGAAGAATATTTTATTAATTTTCATTTAGTAATCTTAGTCTAGAGCTTTTCATTTCTGACTTTGCTGTTGGTTAAGTCTCATAATAGGTACCGCGTAACTTTTCAGCATTCTAAAGTGTTTAAATTTGTAAGGATGCTCTTTGGCCAGGATACAACTCTCAGTCGGATCCAGAGGTCCTTTTACAAGAAATTTGTAAAGTCACTGAGACATAGGGCTAGAGAGTACTGTTCGCGCGGCGAACGACGATTTTTGATCAATTATCCCGAAGTGTTCCAGGACCTTCGAGGGTACGATAACATCAGAACACCAAGTCCTTCCGGGACGGAAAAATCCCACGGGCTGGACCTTCGGGCGAGGCCGCAGCCGGATTCTATCGTGGTTGGCCGAGATACGTGGTCCGAGGGGCCAAGAATTCCACGGGCTGGACCTTCGGGCGAGGCCGCAGCCGGATTCTATTGTGGTTGGCCGAGACGCGTGGTTCGAGGGGTCAAGAATCCCACGGGCTGGACCTTCGGGCGAGGCCGCAGCCGGATTCTATCGTGGTTGACCGGCTGGAAGCAAGTTTGATTAGTCGGAAGGATCTGCCTTTCCGTTAAGATGTGGGATTAATAGGGCCGGTGAGAGGATCTTCCGTCTCACCGTCGGAGTTAATAGGATACGAAGGGATCTGCCACTTCGCGGTAGGATACGAGGAGAGGATGCGTGAGAGGATCTTCCGTCTCGCCGCGGGGGTTAGTAGGACACGAAGGGATCTGCCACTTCGCGGTAGGATATGAGGAGAGGATGCGTGAGAGGATCTTCCGTCTCGCCGCGGGGGTTAGTAGGACACGAAGGGATCTGCCACTTCGCGGTAGGATATGAGGAGAGGATGCGTGAGAGGATCTTCCGTCTCGCCGCTGGGGTTAGTAGGGCACGAAGGGATCTGCCACTTCGCGGGGGAGGGGGATTAAGTAGAAGAATGAGGGGATCTTCCGCCTCACTACGCGGGCAGGTTAGTGGGTGAAATTCAGTAGATCGGGATAACTTGTATGTATATGGTGCTAACGGCCTGAATCACTCGGGGAACAAAGGGGTACGGGGTAAAAATAAAATGCATAACAATCCGGCTTGACCTTTCTTTTCGTACGAGTTCACTCAGTTTAATTCTTTGTTTTTAAATCGTCCCTGTGTTTCACTGCGCCGATTACACTGATTCACTAACCTTATTTCCTACCGACGGCGTTCTCTTTCACACGTGTTTTCTTTATTTACTTTGTCCGCGTGCGCGACCGATCGCTTCGAAGTCCAAGAGCCGAGAGCGTCCCGGAAACCGCCGTGTGACCCTCTCATCCTTTTGGACCTTTCTCTTTCTTTTGGAGGTTTGGTATTTTCTCTATTTTCCAGTATTTTTCTCTATGGTTGCCACCTCGGGGGGGTGGTGCGGAACCAAACTAGACCTATTTTGGTTTTATACCCAAAAATCCATAAGATCGCTTAACTATTACTAAATTATAATACTTCATTTTATATCTCTTAAATACTAATGGTAATGTGACACTTAGATAACTACTGTTTAAATATATATTGTGGCGGCCTAGCCGTCAGGTGGGATCGTCACACCTCCCCCTTTCCTACCGGGGGCTGATGATGAACCGCCCGTCGTCTTCACGGTGACGACGTAGTGCCAATCCAGTCCCTTAACGGCGAAGCGTCGTCCGGATTGTTCGGCCGCCCTCTCGGCGATCAGACGAATGGCCGATGTCGGCAATCGCCGCAGTTCGCCCGTCCCAATCCAACCTTCAGGTAACGGGGCTAACTCGTCTCGAGGTACCTCCGGAGTTGCTATGGATGAGGTCAACTCCTCCATGAACGACCCGTCCCAACCGGTCCCCTGGATCTCGGTCAAGACCTGATCGAGAACTCCGTCCTCCCATTCGGTCAGTGGTGCTCCTGGCGGTGCGCAGATCGGGGATTGGTGTGACGTCGATTGGACCTCCTTGGCCTCGTCCGTCGGGTCCGGGTCTGCCGCACTGGCCTTTGCTGCCTCCGAGTTCTGGAATACCCGACGGAACAGGGGGAGATCTTCTACCCCGTCCTCGCTGTCGGTCGCCAACTCGCACTCCATAAAATATTTCACGTGGTGAGTCCCGGGGTGTGAACGCGGCAACGCTTCGTCTCCTGCCCTGCGGTCTCCCGTGGTGAGCGCCGTAGTCCGACCGGGGATGTCTGGACCGCCTGGACGCGAGTCTCCCTCGGCGAGCGTTGTCGGCAAGTGGGCGACGTCTGGACAGACTGGGCACGGGTCTGCTTCGGCGAACGCCGCCAGCAAGTCGGGGATGTCTGCGTTTCCTGCGTGCGGGTCTTCTTCGGCGAGCACGGCGGTCGATGGGGGCGGGTCTGCTTCGGCGAACGCCGCCAGCAAGTCGGGGATGTCTGCGTTTCCTGCGTGCGGGTCTTCTTCGGCGAGCACGGCGGTCGATGGGGGGACGTCGGGACCTCTGCCTGGGGACGGAACGTCGCGTCCCAATCCAGAGCGGGGGGTAGCGGTGGTGATGGAGGTTCGTCCACGTAAGGACCTTCGGCGTGTATCCAGGGTGTCTTAAACACGACCGACTTGACCTCGATGCGCATCATCGCGACATGACCTTCCCAGCGGCTGACTTGGTCTTCGACCGTACGATGACACGAGTGTTCAATGGAGGGACGTTGGTGGGAATCGGTGTATCGCGGGTGACCGCCTCGATGATCTCGCCTGGTCCACGGCTGTTCGTCGTCTCCTCGCGGTGCGTAATACCCTGGCCCCTGTGAGCGACGACCTCTCGTGTAATCCTGAGGCTCGTCGCGTTCGTCGCTGTCGCTCGCGTTGCTGGAGTCGTCCTCGACGTTGAACGCTGCCGATGGTCGATCGGGTCGTCGTGTTTCGCCGGGTTTAGGGATCCACATGCCCGCAAACTGCGACTCACCTGTACCCCCAGGCTCCTGGTCGTCGGAAGACTCAGCGCCGCCGTGTGGTTCTTCTTCACCTTGGCCATCGTCGGTAACCTGGTCCTCTGCGATCTCTCCCTCTTCGTCTCCCGATGTGTCCGAATCTCCTCCGCTGTATCCTTCCGCGACCCACTCGTCGCGATCGGAAAGGTCGTGATGAAAAGATTCCGTATCGTCGGAACCATCCGACAACTCGATGACTTCTTCCATCTGAAAGCGGAGACTAAACTTATAGATACGAGACCCTTATTGATTAAGCTCCCTACCTATCGGTGCAGTGAAACCTCTACTTAGAATACTTAGATAATAACATAGGGTGTGTTAGTACAATTCAGCTTAGAAATTACCGTATGACCTTGTATCCTACTTAACCTCTCGTGTCGGCCCCCTGGGTAGCCTCGTCATCTTCTTCTGCGGCGGCATTCTCGAAGTCCTCTGAGTAATAGGGTTTCAGTTGGCTGATGTTGGCGGAGCGTGAACGTCTTTCTCCGGGGCTTCGCAACAGAACAAGGTTAGGGGATGTGAACCTCGTTACGGTGTAGGGACCGTCATATTTGGGGACCAATTTGGCGGCGAAACCTTCGGCTGCCTTCGAGAGGGGATGTTGGCGTACCCACACTTTGTCACCGAGCTTCGGTCTCCACTCACGGCGTCGAAGGTTGTAATGACGTGCTTGCTCTTGGGAAGCACGTTGGAGGTTGGATCTGACGATGTCGAAGATTCCTCTGAGTTGGAGCGCTTTTCCTGCGGGGTCCTTAGATATCACCGCCGACCTCGTCGTATAACATAGTAGGGAGTCTGGGTTCGCGTCCTTGCGTCAGAAAGGAGGGACTGTATCCCGTTGAGTCCGATACACTTGCGTTGATGGCGAGCGCTATTTCCGGTAACAGCTCGTCCCAGGAACTTTGGTCTCCCTCGGTGAGACTGGTGAATTGAGTACCATTATCGCAGACGAACTTCCGAGGGATGCCGACCCGACTCCGAATCCGTTCCCGGAATGCCTTCTGAACCTGGGCGGCGGTAGCTTTCCGTAACGGGATCAACTCCACCCATTTGGAAAAGATGTCATGAAACACGAGGAGCATGGTGTTTCCGTGCTTTGACCGAGGTAGCGGGCCGACAAAGTCTGCGCATAGAACGTCAAACGGTTCGCTTGTTACGCGGGTTAGGATTTTGCCTGCTGCCTTCGCCTGGGCGGTTTTAACGCTTCGCGTCTCTAAACATGCCAGGCCAGAAATACCTCTGCGATAGTCGGGAAACGGTTTTTCGGACGCCCAAATGTCCAGCCGTGGGCGCGTCGTGGCATTCTCGGAGGACTCGGACCCTGTTTGAACTAGGGACGCACAGTTTCCATGGGAAGTAGTCCTCGTCATCCGCTCTATGTCCCAAATTCCGGTATAGTTGTCCATTTTCCGTCATGTAGTCTGAGAACTTCTCGGGGCACTCTCTTATCTTAACTTGCATCCCTTGGATCCATTTACAGGGTGTCTCCACCTCGGCCATCGGGTTGCCGGGATAACGCGTCTGCCACCACGTTCAATTTGCCTCGGCGGTACCGCACGTCGAACTGGAATTGTTGCAACTCCAGCGCCCATCTGGCTACCCGACCGGAGGGGCTTTCGATGGAGTTCAACCATTTGAGGGCTAGGTAGTCGGTAACCACTTCGAACCGATACCCTTCCAAGTAGCACCTCATTTTCCTAATGGCCCATATAATGGCCAGACACTCTTTTTCCGTCGTCGTATAATTGCCCTCCGTGGCCGTGAGTCGACGGCTGGCGTACGCGATGACCCTCTCCTGGCCTTCGATATCTTGCGACAAGACTGCTCCTAGTCCCACGTCGCTAGCGTCAGTTTGCAACACAAACGTCTTGTCGAAGTCGGGACATCCTAACACGGGGGCGGTGGTTAACCTCCTTTTCACCTCCTCCAGCGCACTCTGTTGTTCGGGACCCCACGACCACTTCCGGCCTTTCTTTAACAGGGCCGTCATCGGTTGGACCACGGTTGCGAAGTTAGGGACGAACC